TCGCAGCCCCCTGATAAATCGGGCCGGGATATGGATAGACGTGAATGACGGGAATCTATCATTGCCACCGGGGATAATGCAGGGGAGTGGGGGCCGGAGCATGTAGAACAAACACGGGGGAGGGGGGGGGGTGGGAAGGGGGAATGAATGAATGAGAAGAGTAAAAAAATTAGTCGCGTTCCGCTGTTTGCATCCCCGGGATTCAATCAATGCCTTCCCACGGTGTTTGGACAACACTGATACATAAAAAGAAATATATTTGATAAATATATACTTATAGAAAAAAAAGGTATCTGGTATATACAAATGGGTCCCACCCCAAGTCTTATCTCCTTCCCTCGTTCATCACACCGATCTCTTCCAGGCCTAACTTATGCGATCCCATCCCATTTATGCACAGGGTCTCAACCAAGCAAGAGAAAAAAAAAACATCTCGGAAGAGAGATTTCGCGACAAAATCAACCCCATTAAGTCGCCTTTGCGTGAACCCTTCGAAACACGATCGAGTAGAAATATTTTTAAAAAAGCTTCGAAACAAAAGAGTACTCTTCCAGTTAGTGCTTATGCTCACTTGACACTTTTAGCAAATGAAGTAAAACTGAACGCGTTTCAAAGTCAGGAGACTTCAAAGCAAAAATTGTTTTCCCTTCAAATATATGAACTCGTCGCAGGAACCGCTCAAACTGCGACGAAAGCGAGAGCGAGACGCTTGAAGCTCCGAAAGAAATAATAGATTCCCGAATATTCCCGAATTCATCAGGAAATTATCTTCAAACAGCCGGAAGGAAATGGGGGGGAGACGAAGAAAAAACGAAAAAAAAGCGATGAAATCTGAAATTCATTCGGCGTTGCCCGAATAGAAAAGGGGTTTGCATATTCGATTGTGGGCCTTTTATTCGCGACGGAGAAGAAAAGAACTAGGGAAGGGAAGAAAAGGGGGGGGAAAGGATTGGATCGATGTTTCAATATGCCATAAACGAGGCTGCTGCCATCTCTCTCTCTCTCTCTCCGGCACAGACAGTCATTAATATTCATGTCTCAATTCAAATGGCGGAGAAAATTCTCTCTACCCCCCCCCCCCTTTTCTCTACCCCCGTAGATCGGGCTCCCTGCAAGAACCCGCTTCGCGACACCTATGCATTCCCCTCGCAGCGCCAATTTCATGCCATTGTCGACGGCNCCCCCCCCCCCCCCCACCCCCCCCCTCCCCCCCCCCCCCCCCCCGACTTTCCCGGAATCCATCAGGAAAATGGGGCAATCAGCTCAGCCATCAATTGGGGGATGTCTCGTGAATTGCAGACAATAATGGAAGTCGATAGTTCTGAGCTATCAAACGAGAACGAATATGAACTTCGACAGGGCCTCGGAGTGACTCCAGGCAGCATAAGTCAAAACAAATAATTAAGAATATGATATAGAAAATATAGGTCACTTTGTTGATATATAATATACCGGGAGACGCTAAAAAACCGCGACCTGTTTAGGACTTTATAATTTAAAAAAATCTACTGCAGATATGCTGCACTTGTCTTTCTTTCTTTTTTGCTTCACACAAGAAACACAAAAGTCTCCAGATTGTTCGGGGAATAAACAATAAAAAAAGGCGCTGAAACTCCGACAATAGAAATCCCCCTTCTCGTATCGGGAGGCAGCGGTTTCCCCAGTGCTCCACTAATGGCTCCCATTCGTCGCCGAAAAGCCTCCGTCTCATGGCTGCCATCGTTCCTGTTCCTATTGCAATGTTCTCTCGACGGAGGAGTGCCATCACGCAGCTTTCAACGGGAAAGTGACTGCACTGAATTCTTTTCTGAAATTTTCAGTCTTTTATGCTCTGAACACACCGCGGGTGGAGAAGTTCCATTTTGCGCCTGGAATCGGAATGACTGGCTTTATATCCAGACGACCGAGAAACTCGAAACTTTCAGGGCACAAACTTCGCAGTCTTTTCAACGGAATAAAAAAAAATAACGAACCTAGAACATTCACTGTCGATTTCATACGGCGTCAAACAGGGCGTGCTTTTTTTTGTGCAACCTAATATTTGTCGCATCAACGAAGAATCCCATCTCAACCCTATCTTGTAGTTGCAATTTTTCTTCCTAGTTGTGAAGTAGGCCTAAATGCAGTTCTTCTATGAAACTCCATTTCATGTTCGGAAAAATACAGAGAAGGAAGTTTTTTCGGCAGCCGTCTCCAGGAGGCAGCGCTTATCACAATATGGAATACACCTCACCACCCAAAATCTGATGGGAATGAGATTAAAGCGATTCCCATACATGCCTATCATAAAACCAGACCACGGACCTCCGTGATATACAATGTGTTACAGGCTAGAGACCCTAGCCGACCACTTCGACAGCATACGAGCGGCAACGGACAGCGAGAGCCATCTATGCTCCCCCCATGGAACTACCGAGCTCGAGGTGGGAGACCCGTCCCCACTCCCACATTCCTTTCGTCCTTCAACTATAGGTCGTACAAACGACTTGACCCACAAAACACTACGCAATAACATTTATTTTCTTCCAGGTTGGAGATAGCGTAAGCTGTGTACAACTGATCGATGACTCGTGAAGTATCATTCCAATCTGTACTCATCGTACGTCACACATCTTGCAAGGAAATTTCGTTTCTTGGCCCTGCATAGTTTCAAATCGGGGCACGCTGTAGTGACCAGTCTCCGGCGCCTGTCCGGTACTAGTACAGGAAGGGAACGGGCTGCTGGAAAGTGGCAGGCTCCCTTACGTACCCCAGATTTCAACCCTTTGCCTTCCAGAGATTGAAATGCTACGGAGGAACGAGTCCAACGACTAAAACCTTTCGCAAGTACAAACCAAACCTGCAAGAAGATTTCATCTCGATAGTTCCAATTAAAAGAAATAATAATAATCACGTCACATTCCTAAGATCGAGTCCTAGACCAGAACTTTTCTCAAACCTATCATTCCCAAAACGTATATGCTCAAACTTCAAACATGGGTGACCGGGCAGGCTTCTTTCTGAGCCTTGTTGCCCCCCAGCAGACAATGCTCAAGTAGCCAATGCTCAGAGAGCATTGGCTACTTGAGCCAATGCTCTCTGAGCATTGGCTACTGTGGCACGTACATGCCAAAACTTCCACTCATCACGTTCGTCTGAATTCCCGCTTTTCCATGACTCTCACATTTCTTCCGACCGTTTATATCGATTCACATCATCATTCCACCTCGCATTTCTTCAGTTGATCCACCATTATTCCCCCGGAAACAAGTTTCTCTCCAGAACATTTTTTTTTTCCAAGTACAAAACCAAAGGGAAAGTTCCGCATTCCGCCATAATTATTTCTCGAGTTCACTTGATAAAAATTCCCCGCCCCATCCAGTCGGCGAACCGACAAAAAAAGCCGGGACCGAAAACCCACCCGTAACGGGGTTCTAGCACGGGGCCTAGCGACGTCTCCACTTCAAAGGATTCCCCCCGCTCCAACGACGTTATTGAGTGCTCGCATTAAAGGCGCCTCCTCGAGGAACCATTCAATAGGCATTCAATATGCATGATTATCAGAGAAAGACATTCAATGCCTCCATGCTTCATGCTTCCTTCCCCCTTTCCCCCATTCCCCCCCCCCTCTCCCCTTTTCCCATGGCCCCCTTTCCTTCCTGTGTCATGCGGCATGAGGGCTTTAATGCCGTCGTGACTCAATTCTCTCCCGAAAGGCTCCCGATCACATGAAGGAAGAAAAAAATATGCATTACTCGAGGAAAAGAGATAAATTTTAGGAACTGCCAAAAATCCCTTCTCTTTGACAGGAACCTCGTACGCCACCAAATCACGAAGACATCAAGCAAAACCATTTTTTTCCCGCGCGGAACCGTACCGAAACGTAACGGGGAAACTTGCGGCCAAAACGCGAATGTAAATTTCGCTCGTGAAATATGCATACTCACCGGACCGCTCGACCATCCCCGTCGAATTTCTGGAAAGGATCGAGGAGATAAGCCCCGAGACCTCCAGTACCTTTCCAGTACTTCCACCCTTTTTAAATCGGAAACCTTCAAGTCCTCCCCCGTACTCTCCAACCATTCCGATGCAAATTAAGACCCCTAAATCGAGCCGATTTCATCCGTCTCTTCCGCCCGGAAAAAACGCCAACCCCGGAAGCACCCCCGGACTCCAGGAAAAGTCGAAAAATCGAAACGCGTCGGTCCAGCTTCTCTCCTGGTGCCTCCCACGCACAGCCCCCGGCCCCCCCCCCCCCCTCTGCTGCGGGGATTTCGGATGAATGGCGGATGGAAGCGCGATCAAAGGATGGGAGCAAACCCTTTCATGCTCTAGGCATGCGATAAATATTCCCCTTAGTGTTGTGGATTAAATAAGGCAGAGGAAACGCGCATTTGGGTTGCAAAAAAAGACTCCGAAAGTTATATTAAATTTAAATTTAACTCGAACACGCGCTAAATTCTTAGGTCTATTTTTTTTCCTTGACCTGATCAGGCTAATTAATTGAAAAATTATGCAATTCAAATGAAATCATTCAGCATCATTAGTTCTGCCAGCAATCCAACCTGAATTTTCCATCGAATGCCTCTCTGGGCGAATTTCCATGATCTAATTTGCAAAAACCTAAGAATAAAAAAAAGGTGAAATTGCTGGAAATTAATAATTCTTCGAAAAATTTCCAAGCCACAAAAAAATTCCCTCACTTTGATGTGCTCAAAATGCCTCAAGATGCAAAAGCCACACGTATTAGACAAGTCCTTCCGAAAATTGCATTTTTGCACTGACAGCAAGAATATTTCCAGGCGTGAACATCGTGACAATTTCTGGTTCCAAAATGGCACCCTCAGGCATGAAAGAATTCAAGCAAATTTCCTAAAGTCGCAAAAAAATGCGAGTCAAGTGGCGATTGCGTCCCTTCTAGCTTGAGTCAAGGGGTCACGTGACACATTCTACCTCGAGTCGAGGGGTCGTATGACACCATCTCTCACGCGGTCCGTAGGCAGTCGGGAAAAAAATCTGAAATGGGTTTCCAATGTGGGAGGTAACCCCAATGAATCGTCACCTCAATTGCTATGAATCAACAGATAGACCCTGAAACGGTCTGAACTGTGGAAATTGAAATTTAAATGGACCTTGCACCATTGCAAAATCAGGAGATTTTCCATTTCAAACAAGAGAAAATTAATTGCCAAATTACTGTCATTTCTCTCACAGTAAACCTACTGTGCAGCCAGCCATAAACTCCACCATAAGTTGAAGGAATTCCTATCTTGTTACACCACTCAAAACAATATGCATTTCTTTTTTAATAATAGACTCAAAGTTATTTCTCAAGTCAGCCAATACCAGACATTTTCGCACTCAACATGCTGGCTCTGGAGTCATCCACTTGTACATCAACAGCAGTTACAAAGAAAAGTGATCCTGGAAATGAGGAATAGCAATGCAATCAGAGTGTTGGAAGTGAGAAATTAAACATGACTTGGTATCACAGAACACTAGTCATGTGAGAGCAATTTTTTTAATTAGGGGTAATAAAATACAAATGTTACTGATTCATCCAGGTGTGCAAAGAGGAACATGGCTAGTGGTGACAAGCCAAAACCTAAAATTGAAGGAAAGTATAGCCCGAGAGAACTGCCAATGGTTCCGGAGACCAAACTCGAAAAAGGCGATCACGAAAACCGCTCCAGCCACAATCCGTCGAGGTCTACGGATTGTGGCCCTTGACATTTCCATAGACTCATCGATGCTTGGCATAAATATGCTCTACCTGGGAATTACTAAGGGAAATTCACAGCCCCTGGGGATTCGGAACCCACAACTGGAAATGCCACGCACATACCAGATGGAACAAGAACATCTTTTTGGATGACAGATACAAATTGAAACCTTTGGCATTTTGCAGAGTCAGGATTGGTCTCCACTCTAGCACAAATAAACTGGCTTTGTCATGTTTTCTGCCAAGAGCAAAAAGCACCACGTACTAGCATCAACCATGCTGGATTCGGCTTTCTTTTCCAACAGGGGAAAGAGCATAGCAAAAGATGTCAAAGATTCATAAAGGTTCCACAAAGACCTATTGAAGCACAGCATTTAGTATGCATACACCTTATAATCCCAAGCCTATCCACATGGTCAAAAGCCTCAGTTCTCATGTTTGAATGAATTGGTTCGATTACCAGTAAAATATAAGAGGTAACCTAGCTTAGTCTCTTTCAATTGAGTCAGAACTTTTTGTGCATGCCAAAAATATATATAGCAGAGGCTAAGCTTCTCCTAATCATCAACTTTCTAGTTTAGGCCTACTAAGGTAATGCATAAACCATTCAGTCTGAAGCAAATTTCATCTGTCAACTTCATCCAAACTACAGCTGCTTAATCTTAACAGGAATTACACATGCAACGTTGCTTCAAAGAGTTCAGTTTTGGCTTTCAAGAATCAATCTGCTCCCCTTGATTTGAAAACCAGAGGGTAAAATAGTAAAAGAGCAAGGATCACTATCAGTTTCCAACTTCTACATTACAGGAAAAGAAAGACACTGTCAAGAACAGCTTAAGTTATGCCAGGTACATTTTATGGATTCATGCATTATCATTTTTTCCTCTTTGCATGAGGAACCAACATCTCAATTAACTTTCCCTTAAACGGGATCAACAGTTCTGCTGTCGCTTTCATTAAAATTCGTTCCCCTCTCATAATTCATGCTTCTATACACTTCCTAACGACGTATCAGTCAAGAGTTGTATGCCGGTAAGACAAGCTACAATATTTCCCACGATCATGAAACCCAACGGTGAGTTCCAATTCCGGCACCATAGCTCCAATTGGGCCTGAAGCTTGGCTGTATTTAGAAGAACTTTAGAGCCAAAGGTGACCAGATTTTTGAGGGAGGACCAGAAATACCAAGACAAGAAGGAAAAATATGTGTGTGTAGAGATGTCAGAAAGGGCAATACCGGCGCACCTAGGCCTAGCTTCGCAAGAGAAAGCAAAGCAAACGTACCTAACATAATTGTACCACCATTATCTAAAATCTATCAAAGCGAAGTCCACAGGGAATAGACTTACTTGAAATTTTGGGAGGCTAATTTCCTTCCAAGCCTCTACCGCACTGTTCAACTTCGCCGCCATCTTTGTTGACCTCACGGATGCTGTTCCGACCGGCTTACAACATAACACGTTTATGAAGTTGCGTTATTTGAGAATGCTTTTCCGTAAAAATTATTGCCTCTAATACATAAAAAATAAAGTTTGGGAATAAATTAAAGCATTTTTCTTCAATAGATTCTTTTATTTCCTTATATTCATGTAAAGTATTAAGTAGTTCTGGTTTTTGATTTGGCATCTTTGGCGTTTCTCAAGGAACGTGGCTGCCTCCTCAACGCCGCACAGGGCACGTGAGGTCAGCGTTCTCTTTGCAATGGATGTGTCTCCTAGTGGCACGAAAGTGTGTAGAAATCTGTTGTTGGTCCTCGAGAGACTAATTTTTGCGTGGATTCCCGATAAGTCCCATTTCCTGTTGCTACCCCTTCGTAAAAACTCGAAGGCCAGCGAGATCCAGGAATCTCTGGATAAAATCTGTGGATGCGTTGTCGGGGAAGTATGCGAGGATCTCCCAGAGGTGAGAAAGTTGAGCTTATAGGTTTATTCGTAGGCCTATAATTGTTGTAGTCCTGTTCGTACAGTATATGTGGAACTTAATATTCCCATCGATATTTTACGCGTTGTATTCCATCTCATTTCAGACTGAATTTATAGGCCTAGACCAAAGAACTTCACTGAGAGCCCCTTTTCTGACACATTTCCCAATAATCCTTCGCTGGCCTGGATGCCGCACAAATGCATATGCTAATGGTTTCGTATTTCATTTTGTGCATAGGTCTAGACCTCACATAGGTTATTAGTGTAAATTGTAGAAAACATCACTCTGAGGGTACAGATGGTATAAATGAGCTCTCCATATTTGTGTATGAGTGGTAATCACTGGTATCCTGAGCAAGTTGGAAAGAAGTGATATCCATATAAATTGCTCATGAGTAATCTCACTGTGAAAGGTTGACCAGAATGTTGAAAAGACCTGTTCACATGGTTCAACCATAATATTACATTTGCCTGATGCAGGTCTACATCTTTTCAAAGGTGTGCAAATCCAGTGAACAGCTGTGGGGACCCACTCTTGAACTGCTGAAAATATGGCATGGGGTATCTAGAGAATCCCCTAAAAAGAAGAGTATTATCCCATTTATGGGAAGTAGGAGTTAAAAAAATGTGATGTATGAAGAACACGAGAGACAGTGCCACAACTTATGTTCGATGCCAATCATCATCTTTGATTACAGACACCAATAATCATGAGCAACAGTTTCATTGCTCTGGATTAACCTGTTTGTGGGCATTCACAATGTCTGCTTAAGGTCTCCTAGGTGTTTAGAACATCATATTATCATTGCATAATTTGAACTTGTTTCCATCCTCTGATTGCCTGATCGACCTTACAATGTATCCTTTTGTAAAATACTGGAAGATTTCTTAAGGCTTTGATATTACAGTTGTAGCTTTTCCTGCATCTCCTTAGGAAGTTGAGAATGATTTCAGCACAAAAGCTTACTGAAGGAATCATCAATCTAAACATGTCCTCCTGCCCTTGGCATCACTTACCTGAAGGTATTTCTTGTGCTAGATGCTTTTTGAACCCTCTGCAATACCATTTTCTGGAACTGCAGGAAGTCTCCTGGAAATTAGCCAGATTTAATGTCTAACACTTATGAAGCAGTTACCAGCGAGAAACCAGTCGCAATTTGTTCCCCCAAGTTTTTTTTACTTTTAAAGTTACCACTTGCTTTCTCAGAGTATAAATGCAGTACTGAGTTTCATGGTAGCATCCATGATGTTCTTTGGATGCTCCACTGGAATAAACACAAATGCCAGAGCCTGCCTAAAGTCACAAGATTCCTGTGCATCAGAATTTTTAATCCATTACTTCTTACTGGTTGGACCAAGCGGCATCATCCGGTAGTCTCCTGCGGACTCAGGTCCAACCCAGTGGCAATTCAAATTTTTCATGCAAACTCCATGCTACACCTCAAACCAGCATCAGCTTGGTGTAAGTCAAACACTGCTTGGGAAAACATCTGCTTCCTCATCTGCTGAGATATTCAGAACTTTTAAGCTTTCAATCAGCAGATTTTCTTGTTTTGGACATAATGGAAGGAGTTCCCTGTTACTCTGGCATATGAACTATCATTACTGTCATTTATAATCCTGCTCAATGCAATCAATGCCCAGTAATCAGCTGGGGAAACCCAGTCTAGTTGTGCTCCTCTCAATCACTGTTGGGAAGCAGAGGAGGAGGATATGGCCAGCAGTACAGATTCAGAGGTGAAGTGGGAGTATAAAATTGAAGAATGGCCAAATAAAGTAGTTTATGAATTCAATTGACAACCCAGTCCACACCCTCAAGTACAACCCCCCCACCCTCTCTCTCTCTCTCTCTCTCAAAAAAAGTTTCAAAACCAAAAGTTGCTATAGAATTATATTTTTTCTCAGATATTGCAAAAAAAAAGTTTTCGTTTCTATCGAGTCCTATCAATCTGCTTGTTAATTGTCACAATGGGAAGGTTCACAAGTTGTTATTGTTGAACCACATTACAGCACAAAGACATGGTGCAACTGTCAGTGACATCTGCAGGAGGCCAACTTAAATTGGGACTTCTGCTTATATTCTGAATTGAAATTTGCAGGTATCCATATTTGTCTTTAAGAAATGCCGAAGTTTGCGTTGCTTCCTCGTCCTGTCCTGCATCTCTAGTCCTCGGGCAACAGAGTTGCATGGTTAATGAGTTACGACACTTCTCCGCTCATCACGTTATGCTATAATCTAGCGTTTCCTGGAAATTGCGTTTTTCAAGTGCAAACGCCGAACGCGTTGCTGGAAGAAACCTCGCGCGAACGAGGTGGGTTGCAACGGGGAGTGTGCCCCGGACGATCCCCCCCCCCCCCCCCACTCACTCCCTATCGCATTTCCTAGATGCCAGGCATGACAGAAGAGGTACTTAATGGAACGATTGCCATGTGATAGGCCTCATCAGCATTGCGTTATGCGGCGGAGATGCGAGGGGGAGGAAGATCGGCGAGGACAAAGGAAGGAGAGCAGATGAGATCGCCTTATGACCCCCCATCACCATTCAATTCCATAGGTTCCACCTCCACAACCCCTGATTGAATGGGTATCCCTCCATTCCCCCTGCGAGATTATGAGACATCTGTGGGTTCACATCCAGGCGGAATTGCTGGGCTGGCAGACAGTGGCAAATTGTCCTTTGGACAAAAATTTCTTCTGCCAAATCCACTTGTTGTCAGTGGATTGGAACCATGTGTGCTGGTGCCATGGGTTTAGTTTGAGATGCCTGTCTACGCGTAATATTCGTAGGTAACCTGTATGGACATGAGGAATCTTATCTTTTGCGGTCTACGTTGACTCCTAGTTCCAATTCGGTACTTGGACAGTACTGCCATGAAAGTTAATTGAAACAAGATTTTGAAAATGATTTGATCGTTCTTCTCCGGTTTTGAACCGGAAATGGTAAACATGTATTCCCGGTAAGTTGCCATATGCCCGCAAATTACAGGGAAAGCGCTTGCTATCCACGTGGTTGCAGCCATTTTGTCTGGTAATTCCGATTCACTTTGTAAAAATAAAGCTGATAAAATATATTGACTGGTGTTCACAGAAACAGGAATGGAAACAGTGAGGAACAGGTCAAGGAAAGTGGCTTGATAACCTGAAAGTTTGGGGGGGGGGGGATAGGAAAATTGCAAAGCAAGTTACTTGCCTCGAAATGATTTGCCAAAACTGGAGAAGGCAGGGAAATTGATTCTCGGATGTTATTTTTCCTCGTGGAACCCTCGGAGAGAGGGTTGATCTATTCCTTCCTAATGGACTCCAAGGATGCTCTCCCTCCCTTTGTGTCTTTCTCCCCCTCCATCTCCATGTCTATTTCTAATGGACAAGGAGAAGAAGAGGGAAATCTGGATGTACCCTGTGTCATGATGGGATTCATGACAGGACTTGATGCAGCGATGCATGCAGTATTGTGCGTTTTCGGGGGGGTGGGAGGGGGGGGATGACGGATCCCCGGCGATTAAGGCCAGGGACAATGGCGTTCGTTATTAATCCTGGCCTCTTCTCCGCTGCATCTCCATAGAGGAGTCCATATGTTTGTGTGTGCTTTTTTTTTTTGGTCGTCTGTGTCCAATGATCCCCATCCTTCCTGGTCCATTCATCCCGGTCGGAGGGGAAGTGACCCCTAATTTCCCGTCTCTGGATATGGATGGGACCCTCGGCGGTGGATGCGGATGGAGGCACTTGTCAGCGCGGCGACATTCGTCTTGTTTCCCCGGTTAAGTAGGGCATTCGACATCAGGGCATTTGCCGGGTTTTCTCTGTGGAGAGTCGTCCCACGCCCGTGAACCTTGTCGCAAATTCATGGCTCGGTTCTGCAAAGTTCTGTAAATTTTATCATCGCTAACTCCTTTTGGTTTTTGCATTTTTGGGTCATTTGTCTTGCTGTTGCAATGGCAGACAGCGTGCGCTATTGTGTGTTTAAATATAAAAAAGCGGAACTGAAAAATTCGTTCTGGGCCATCGTGAGGGGAGATGTATTTAAAATAATTACCTGTATTTATTTATTCCGTAATTTAAAATCATCCAACCGAAAATCGGCCTCAGATAACCTCGAGGAGAGCCAAAATGTAGTATTTTTACTTTTTTGTCATATTGCTGTTGACTCTAACCCTGGGAAAGGATGGAATCATGTATGTAGGTGGAGCAGATACTTTTTCCTGAAGAATTTATTTATTGTTGATTGGAGCATCAGTAAATTGCCAGATGCGTCAGCGGGACGTGTTCACCAGAATATTAAATTTTCCAGTAGGTCAGGAGTCGCTAGGAAATCATCACACTTCCAGTTCGACAATATATTGAATGTGTCCGCTTGAACGTTGTGAGGCGATGTTCCCGTTCTTCCAGGGCTTTTATTATTATTATTTTGAATGCCTGGTGTGATTTTTTTTCCGCAAGCTTTGGTGATGCGCTCTTCAAGTTTATCAATATCGTGCATTTTGATGGAGCTCACATGTGCTGTCAAAAGCATTTTCAGTCAATTTCAGGACGTTTCACTTGATTTTCATGATCACAACCCGAAGTAAGGAGAATAAGAAAAAAATTGTGTTTTCTTTTTTATTTCAGACTTACTGCATTTCATGAGCGTCGTGTGAAAACGAAAGGAATGATAGAGGGGGATTTTCTGCACGCAGATAAAGTACGCGTGCTGAAACTTTAAATCCCATTTCTAATGCAGGGAAAATGCCACAAATAAATCAGGATACATGGGGGAAAAAAATATGGATCCGATAAGGTACGTGGACTGGCGACCACAATTGTCCTCGAGTGTACAGCACGTAACGAAGCCTCTCGAGGCTCCTTCGCCCCCCCCCCCCCCCCCCCCCCCCCTCCCCCCCCCCNCCCCCCCCCGGGCCCCCCCCCCCCCCCCCCCCCCCCCCCCCTTTTTTTTCCCCCCCCTCGAGGAAAAGGGGAAAAATCTCGTGAGAGAAATGATCGGGATTCGAGACGGAATAAGGCTACATACATCGAGATGACAGGAGTACCAATTCATTCATTTCCTCCCCGCTCATATCCCGGGCGATAAATCTCACTCTCATGGTAAAGGGGGACTCCATATATATATAGGGAAGATAATATATAGGGAAGGCAGACAAATCGGTACCAAGGGAGTGAGGATTTTTCTCGATTATCGAGAGAGGAGGATAATCAAAGCCTCCTCCTCCTCCCCCTCCCTCTCCCTCCCCCTCCCCCCCTTCCCTCCCCCTCCTCCTCATCCGTTTCCATATCGAGTGACACGCGTTTATAAATTATCCTCTGCGAATTTGCCCTTGTTCATCCTGTAACTTGTTTTCGACACGACATTGGGATTTTTGAAATCTGGAAAAAGAAAACTCAGGAGATTAAGAAGGAAAAACACGAATTCGGTTAGTCCGAATATCCCACTTTCTTCGACCGAGGCAGAATTATATATTGAATATATTCAATACATATATATATTTTTATCTTAGGCCTTGAAAGTCAGTCCCTCTCGTGAAGGGAAAAATTACCTTTCGGTATGATCAAGTTAATGGGAATCATGATGAGTTTGTTCTAATTTATACCGTTAATGTTAATTTTTTATTATTATTTAATATAAACACTTTTTGAATAAAGTGAGAATTTTTGAGTGAAGTTTAACCGGAATCCCTTGTTACAAGGAGTCCAATTAATTGTTTTTCACAGTGGAAAACAACTTGAACGCAACGAGTTTGGATGGCATGCACCCGATTGATTCGAATTTAACAGTGTTAATGGGCTTCCGTGAGAATAAAGATTGGTTGTAATGGTGAAAGGTTCTGATAAAATGATGAGTCATGGTCTGCTTTTCTTACTTGCTATATTAATGTGCTCTGATGTACTTTAAGGTATATTAAGGGGCAAAGCGTTCGTTGGTTACAATTGAATATTGATGGTGGGATATGGGGGGGATGATACGGATTAAGGATGAGGAATAGGATAAGAAGCCTGTTTATTTTCTGATCGAAGCCAGCTTTAATAAATTTTTGATACAAAGAAAGTATTTGAAATATTTCCGTCGTTCCCACAGGAGGTGAGAGTGGTGAAGGTGACGGACCCGCCGCTCTTCCCGGTGGAATGGCTGGTGGGGAACGGGACGGGCTCCCTGGTGGCCATGGCCGGGAGGAAGGGGGTCACGGTCTCGCTCCTCCCGGGGCCGGGGGTCGCCGCCTCCCTCAACCCCTCCTCCTCCGCCGCCTCCTCCTCGCGTCAAGTCCAGCTTGTCAGGTCTGTATTCATCGCGTCGTGTACTGGCGCTAAGAGAGCGTGTCTCCTTAAAATAACATTCGCAATTCTGATGACCTCGAGGCCCCCTGCATTACCTGTAGATGTCTCTGTTGCCTGTACGTGTCGTCTTCCCCCTGCCTCTCCTGCAAGAACCATCAGGCGTCTCTTGAAGCATTCTCGTTTGAGTGTTCCAGTAATTTATTCCCCTTCAAGAGTGTCCACACCTGCTATAGGGAATAGAAAAGTTGACTATTGGTATCATTGGTTCCATCCACATTATCAGTCGCTGCTCGCCAGAGGAGAAACCATTTAATGATGTTACGAATATTTCCTAATTGTTGCATCAATTAGATCCGCCCCCATGATTGCATGAGTATTAAATAATGCAGTCTCTGCCTAAACGGATGAATTGTGAGACATTGGAGAAGTACATTGACATTTATTTAATTTTTTATTACTTTGCAATTCGTCATTATATAAGATAAATATATACTGGAGATCTTAGAAGACTTCCTGCAAAGTCAGCCATGTCGCTTGTTTCCCGAAATAAAGGCAAAAAAAACCTGGTAAGCCGCACCGAGACCTGCCGCATTTTTTTTTGCGAATTTCATTAATCTCCTTCCTTCCACCCGACAGTTTTTAAGGGAGCTCTTTGAAGCTGATGCCGGCAAAGCATTAAGCACAGGACGTTGAGAAATCTCTGGAGCCTGGCCGAACCCATCGGCTGGACGCGGTCCACGGGAAGCCCAAGGGTGTATTAAACTTTTTTTCCTTTTCTCCCCCCCAAAAAATGGGGTCTAATGGACCTGAAATATCGAGCAGTAATGCGGGTCATCCCCTCGGTTCAAATGAAGAGCGATGCACGGCCTGTGTCCCCTCTGTGTCCCCCCCACACCCCCTAAAAGCGTGCGATTTTTTCCACTCAACGCGGTCCACCCTCCCCCGTCCTCTCCCCCATCCCCTCCCCCTCCCCCCCTCTCGTCCCCGGAAATGGACCCCGGTCCCATCAGGTGTCATTTCCTAATAATAATCCTTCACTGTCGTTCCCGCCGCTCATACGAGAGGAAAATGAGGCCTCTCGTGATGGAGTCTCCGGAATTTCCTTGTCCCATTCCGGGGCCGAACCCATTCCGAGGCCGGATAATGAGATAATCACATGTGAAGCGATGCATCCGCATGTGTGCGTGTGTGTGTGTGTGTGTTTGGGAATCGGATGGGCGTAATTGGATTAAAGGGGATTTCCCGGAACCAATTATGGAACTGATCCGCTAAATATGCCTATTTACCCCCATTATCCGAGCGCGTGGGGAGAGACGGGTAAGTTCTTCATCAAGTCCCTTCCTGGAGCTCCTTCCTCACGTTCCTTCCTTGAGGCCCTTCCTCACGGCCCTTCCTCGAGTCCCGTTTCTCTTCGAACGTGCTAATTATGACTCATCAGAATTCGTTGGTTGTCGAAGGCTCTGTCCTTATTAGTTTGACGTGTTTTTCATCCCGGAGTATTTTATTTTATGAGAGTGTGGCCTTTCAATTTGATAGACCGGGAGCGGGATGTAAACCGCCTTCCCACGTGCCACCTTCGAGGTCGACCTGTCGCAGTCCCTGGCGCGCGACGGCGACTCGGCATGTAAATTGCTTCAAAAGTGTGTTTAATTCTTAATTTAATCGACTCCACTCTGTTCCTTGTTGGTCATGACACGAGGTGCCCCTATTCATCGAGCCAATGTGGATCTCTTGTTTCGTTGTGGAAGAACCTGGGAGCGAGTTTAACCACTTGAAAGGGTGATGAGTGCAAAATTCTTTTTTTTTCTTCGATGTCCCAGTGGGAAGAACAATCTGGAATGTCCTGTTTTAATACCTATTCTCAAAGTCAGTTGAGTGGTATTTTGCCTCTGCCATTCTGAGTCTGACAGATGAGGAATCAGCACAACCACATTTAATTTCCCCCCTCCCGGATTTAATTTTGCAAAATTCCACCGAACCCCTGTGATGTTGATTCCAGGAGCATGAGGATCGGGGAGGCGTCCTACGGGTGGTCCCGCGTCCCGGGCGTGACGTCCGTGTGCGAGGTGGAGGTCCGCTGCGTGAAGTGGCACCCGGGCTCTCCCAACGACGCGCACCTCGTCATCCTCTCGTCCGACAACTACATCAGGTCGGGGTTTCGAGGCTAGCCGTTCGCGTCCTCCTTTTTTTCTCGCTGTCGTCCTTCCAGTGTCTTGGGATGTTGTCATTCCCTTTCGGCTGGGATGCATGCATTTCCTCCTCCATATCCCAACCGCAAGGAACTTGGACTAGGTGCTGGGCCTGTACGCTGGTGCTATAATAGCGCTGGGATGAAAATAAGGAGTGATGATAACGGAATGCTTTTTTTTTAATTTAATGGATAGTGGTTTCTACATGCATATCAGCTTGCTTCTATGTGAGATGGGGTTGTTTAAAGCAAATTATTCTATTCCACAATCGCATCTCGCATTAATGCCTCATTTGCAAGGCAAAACTGCAATGAGAAAATCAATATTCCTCACGTTCGCCTCCGTCTCGAAACGTCTATGACTCGGAGATCGCTCGTTCGCGGCAGGTTCTTTTCGATGCGGGACCCCTTGGTGCCGGTGCAGGCGGTGTTGATCGGCTCCGCGTCCCCGGCGTCCCTCTACCCGTACTCGTTCCACGCCTCGGTGCAGGCGTCCTTCGGGGAGATCCCGGTGGCGCTGGACTTTGGGCCGCCCTTGCCGCAGGGCGGGAGTCGGCCCGACGTGGTGCGCTGGCCCGCCTTCATCCTCCGCGGGGACGGGGAGGTCTACTTCCTGGTCACCTCCGTCGTCGATGACAGGTTGGTCTCCCGGCGTCTTGTTTTCGCGCTTGGTGTATGCTTGGACAGTTATGAGTTTTGTGTCTGTCTGTGACTGGAGTCTGGAGAGCTGGCTTCGTGTTTTCAGTCGCACCTTTGCTATTGGAGGAGAGTATGGTGAATAATATTCAAATGGGAGAGAGTTGAAGAAATTCAAAGTTTTCTCATATAAAAAAAAGACGTTTTGCAAAATTTGCAGGTGGTGTGTAAAGCTGTCATGTTCTTCAAAGAAGTTATCAACTTATTTTATCGGTTTACTGTGTGGGAGTGTCTTGAATGGACAATGCTTCCAGTATTCCAGAGTGGCTAGGAGATTTTCGATACGCTGCACTTCGCACGTTACTCCATTTTGAGGGCAACCCAGCGCGTTTTAAGCTCCACCTTCCCATGTCGCTCGAGTGAATTTTCCCGCGGTTCTAGGGTGGAGAAGAGCCAGGTGGAGGGGCCGCTGCGGATGCACCCGCAGGCGGAGGACAACTACGGGAGCGAGGCGGTGGAGATCCTCTGCCTCCGGACCACCCCGCCCTTGGTGGTCCTGGCGCTGCGCAACGGGACCATCCTGCACTGCGTCCTGCTGAGGCACCAGCGGGATCAGGAGGACGAGGAGGAAGGTGACGAGGATGGCAGCCAGGTGTGGCCTCGTTTTTTCTGTCGTGGGAGGAGTTATCTTCGTGTTGGACATGAAGTTCTTATGAGGCGTGAGGGGTAATTTTGTTGATGATTCTTGAAGGGGAGGAACTCAAATCTGAGAACGGGTGCCATGGATGTAATTTCATATCGAGGCTCTTGCTGGAATTTTCCCTTGGGTTTCTTACTCTAATTTTGATATAGGCACTCATCCGACATTTCTTCCTCAGGCTCTGAACAGATGTGTGAAAATAGTTTGACGCCCAGCCTGTTTCTTTTGACGACCATGGGAAATGGTGTGAACTTCATCCGTTGTGGTGGTTTTGAGTACAGTGTAGTTGCATTCCTTAGAAGCACGTATTTGAATGAATCTGTACTTTCCAACTATCATTAGGATGCATAATGTATCCTTACTGACTTGAGCAAGATTTTTAAAAATAATTTCTCATTGTCATGTGAATATGGTTATTGTCTACAAGAGGAGACCTCGAGCCTGATTAGTTGGTTTGTTGATTTGATGTTGGTAGCTATCACCATTGCCACAGTGACCATGTTCATGTTGAATCTCCTGTATTTGGGAATTCTCCAGATGTAGGCACTGAGACCAGCTCGATCCCTGTGGACTGTACTGGCTGAGACAGATGGAAAATATCGCGGAAATTGCATTCGTGTGTCACGAGTCGGGCTTCATGTATTGTGTTCATGAAGGTCCAGAGAAAGGTCAAGGCTAGGACTTCAAATGCAGAAAGGAGATGAAATGAAATTTTTGGATGTGAAATCTGATGAGATCAGATGATGTCGGCATCGGATTGCTTCAAGATCTGAAAATTCTCCCACAGAGTTGGCTCCAGGGACTTGCATCCTAATTTGTGAACTTTTAAGGGATTAACCATCCCTGGTAAATCTCCTGGTAAATGGGTTGAGAGTTTGAGGGTCAATATATAGTCGAGAGGAACCATCCACTGGCCCTTGAGACGAATGGATCAGGACTCGACTGCATTTTGAGCCTAACGAACGAGCCTGTCGTGTTGTCGGTTTCGGTGTGAGTGCAGGATTAGGAGTGATGACCACCTGTCTGCCCTAGCCTTGGACGATATAAGTGCTTTGGTCATAAATTTGATAGATCTTGCTATTTGTATTTGTGGTTGGGGAAAATCATTGTCTGCAGATTGTCCTTGCCACTTTTTCTTTAAGCTTGGGTGCAGTTCCCTAAATTCACCATGTTTATGCTTCGTTCCTCACGGTAGGAGACCCAAAATCAAACGTTCACTCGAACTCCATCCGTCTCCTCTCATAGTCGTCCGAGTCCCTCGAGGAGAGGCCCCCCGTGGGCCCCGGTGGAGCCCGGATGTCCCTCTACGTCTACGAGACCCTGGACCTGGCCTATTCCCTCATGCGCGACAACGCCCCAAAAGACGACGGCGACGAGGAAAAAGAAGGAGAGAAAGAGAAGGAGATGTTCCTGATGGGAGACCCCGGGTGCTCGTACCGCTACCACGTGGGTCACGTGGGGGGCGTCCACAGCGTCATCATCCCCGCCGTCTCGGAGTTCCTTCGTTTTGCGACTACCCCTGCCGAAGGTTCATCTTTCTTGCCTTGCCTTGCTGGCTTTATTATTTTTTTTTGTTCCTCCTATTTTCCATATTAATGTGATGATGTTTTTTTCTTCTTATTTTCACTGTGTTGAATATTGATATTCAATGCTGATATATATTAGTGCAGAAACTAAAACTTCTTACCCTGTTATGGATCCACACTTCTATCATACAATGAGATATTTACTGTTGCAGTATTGTGGTGGATATTTCATTCTCATCACCCTCCATACTTCATGGTGTCTTGTAAATCCCAGATGGATTTTGGTTCTTTTTCCAGTTGTTTCATGCAATGGAGTTATTCTAAGGCAAACACCTTTGCAAATAACATGGTTTATTTTTCTGATCGCTTCATGTGTGGATTAATAAATAGTTCCAAAAGCATGGAAAACCTGGTGATAATCCAGAGTTTGAATTGAGGCTCCAAAATCCTGTGCCATCAGAAACTCTTCCAACTTTATCTGGATTGTTGCCCTATTTTCCCAAATTTGGAGCCTTTGAAGCACCCATGCAACAGCAATCTGATGTTCTTAGGTGCAATAACAGTTAGTGTATACCATGCAAAGAAATTTCATTACCCACCTTGGACTTATGGAATGCCCTTTGCATTGCCCCAGAGATATTCCACCTGGGGGATAGTATGATGGGAAGGTTTCCAGCCATTTGCATTTGAAGTTGAGACATGTAATATTGCTTGGCTTTCCATAGGAGAGGAAGGGAAGCTGGTGGAGGCAGAGAGCGTGGTGGAGCACCTGGTTTGCACCCGGCTGAAACCCGGCGGAGACGATCTCTCGAGAGGGAGCGAGGTGTGGGGGCTCGGGGTGCTCCCCCCCTCGTCCGCTCCGGGTCCGGCCCTCGTCGCCCTCCTCCACTCCGGGGAGGCCCTGGTGCTCCCCCTACGAAGGGTCCACCTGCTCCCTCCTCGATTCCCCCTCCTCTCTTCCACCTCCTCTGACTTCTCTGCAGCCTCAGTGAGTCTCTTCATTGGTGAAGCTTGCTTTTAACTGTGGTGAGAAAGTGTTCAACTTTCAGCTGTTTCTCATAGGTTGCCTGAAACTTGCTAGCGTTCTGGTTACTGTTGCTTCTGGTCACCAGCAGTCAGTATATTTTTTAAATGTTGCTTTTGCATCAAATACTAACTGTGAAGGCTCAGCATGTAACTTGTTTTGCATTGGGTAAGTGTGCCTTTGATAGAAAAAAGAGGACTCTAAAAGCCTTCTGTAGATGTTTACATTTGCCATTTATTCTCTATCTGCTTTAGAAAGGAAAGCTCAGTTAAAAACCCTATCTGATACATTTCACTAATCCATTTTGTATAGGTTAATCTAAACGCAATGAACTTTTTACTAGGTAGTGGAATTCCAAATGCCGGCATTGATCTATTGTTGCATCTGTATTAAACTGTACTTTTACCATTGAATCACCAGAGCAAATGTTCCAAAAACATTCTGCGTTTGCCAGAAGATTTCATTTTCATCATTCCCTGTGGTCGGGGTCCTTTCATCTATTAAAGGAATTTGACTGTAACCTATTGCTTGCTTCATTAAACTGCACCTCCTCAGAGAAACATCTTTGAATGAATCTGAAGTGGTTCTTCAGTAGAAGTTACTCATTATTCATGTTGAACAAGGCAGCTGGGCTTGCCATAGAGTTGATGTAAGGAGATGTTGCCTTTCGTTTTCATCAGAAGTCGGAGCCGTTCGACGCGTACATCGGTCGGATCTTGCAGAAGTCGGAGACGCAGCCCCTGCTCAAGATCCCCAAGGACTCCAAGGTCTCCCCGCAGGATCAGCTGAAGGTTCGCTCTTGTATTTCATGGTGCTTGTGTCAGTTTGCTGTTTGCTGTGAGAGATTAAACCGGTGACTGAGACAGTGATGCATCATTTCCACCAAAGTTCTTTCTGCATTTTTCTATCAGTATTTTACACATTAAATGACTCTATGTATGAGTACATTATTGCTCTGGGAAGCATATCTCAGCCTCCTCTGCTTTTCCAAGCTGGTACATACCTACATGTTCTCATTTGTTTTTTATGTTATCTGATGATGGCAAAATACATTTTATTAGAAATCTGGGTGGACACTGCTTTTCACTTGTGTGGAATTTGTGATCATTGCAGGATAGTATAACAGATAAAGGGGGGTTGCTGTTGCCGAAGAAGTGGGGAGGCTTCTTTTATTTTTGAAAGTGCATACAGGGTGCGTGAGCTATTTGAGAACAAAATTTGATTTTGAGGAAAACTAAAATATTCAGTAGAAAAACCAATATATTTTCATAGAATTTGGTACACATGTTCTTACATACACATAACAAAAGGCTATTCAATAAAACCGCCTTCAACCTCGATTACGGCCTCGATGCGGCTTCTGAAACGACTACGTGCGTTGATCGGGTGATTCTTATTTATGTTTGCCATAATGTCCCCGATGGCAGCCTTCAACGAGTCCTTGGTATTATGGGCATGCTTGTTGGTCTCCCTCTCAACGACGCCCGAGATGTAGTAGTCCAGGGGGTTTAAATCAGGAGAGCTAGGAGGCCAAATGTTAGGGGTAACATGATCGTGAAAATTTTCGGCCAGCCACTCCTGGGTCGTGCTGGCTGTGTGAGAGGGACCAGAGTCTTGCTGGAACACGTACGGCCTCCCCCGAGCCGAGATGCTGTCAAGCCCTGGATCGAGGGAGTGGCTCGGGGGAGGCTGTACGTGTTCCAACAAGACTCTGGTCCCTCTCACACAGCCAGCACGACCCAGGAGTGGCTGGCCGAAAATTTTCACGATCATGTTACCCCTAACATTTGGCCTCCTAGCTCTCCTGATTTAAACCCCCTGGACTACTACATCTCGGGCGTCGTTGAGAGGGAGACCAACAAGCATGCCCATAATACCAAGGACTCGTTGAAGGCTGCCATCGGGGACATTATGGCAAACATAAATAAGAATCACCCGATCAACGCACGTAGTCGTTTCAGAAGCCGCATCGAGGCCGTAATCGAGGTTGAAGGCGGTTTTATTGAATAGCCTTTTGTTATGTGTATGTAAGAACATGTGTACCAAATTCTATGAAAATATATTGGTTTTTCTACTGAATATTTTAGTTTTCCTCAAAATCAAATTTTGTTCTCAAATAGCTCACGCACCCTGAATGTTATTAGGGATGGACTCTAACTCAAAATTCTTTGCAAGATCTAGAAGTAACATATAGGTTCCCACACCCATCTGGCATTTGCTTTGTGCCAACTGCTCTGCTAAGAATTTGGATCTTGCCACTCTCACCTGTGGAACTCTGATGTCACTTCCTTCCTAGCTGGTGCAGCACGTGACCAAGGTCCTGAGGCGGGAATACATCCACAAGCTGCTCATCGCCAAGGAGGAGATCGAGAAAAGGTTTTTGCCCCCCTTCCTGTCGTTTTGGTTTTACACAAGGAGCCAAGTCGTTATTAGTGATATTTTTTTGGAAGATTTCATGGAACTGTTGGGGTGAAGTTTAGCAATGAAGCTGGAGGCAGTCTCAGTAAATTCAGCCCAATAGGTTTTATTTTTATTTTTCTACATGCATGTTCAGCAGCTGGGCTTCCATCTGTGTAGCTGTTCGATTATGTGCAAATATCTGTAATTATTGAGTTAATTGAAATTAAAACAGGAGAGAAGAAGAGATTGTGTGAGTGTGAACAGGTACAGGCAATGGTTTTTTTAAATTATTTTTTGGGGGGAAAAAGTTTGTTTTGAGATATCAAAGTTCAGTCATTTACTCAGGTAATATGCAATGTGATAATGTTTCAACTTGTGTTGTTGATTTTTAGTTTAGTTTAGTTGCCACTAGGAGAAGCCTACTATTTAAATGTGCTGATTTGATTTGCTATCTTATGATTCATTCTGTGGCTTATCTTCCTATTGAGAATGTCATGACATTGACCGGTGATTCAATTCTCTTTACCGATTTCATCTGCCCTTTTTTCTTGCCTTCCCTTCTTACCTGAAGGAAGCCCCAAAACGATTTTGCACAATGGCGTGCCAACGGTACTCCAGGTTTTGCATGCGGTTGTCTCGCAGGGTGGAGATCCTGAAGTCGCAGAAGGAGCACCAGCTGTCCGAGCTGGAGAGGCTGAATCAGACGAGGACTCGTCTGGAGAAGCAGGGAGAGGCGCTGGGGCTGAGACTTCAAGAGGCCAGCAATAAACAGGAACTCCTCTATTCCAGGTCCCCCCCTCTGATATTTCCCACTTTTGGAATTTTCTTGGCATCTTTTTGCAATGGATTCTATGCAACCTGATATCAGTTATGGGTCTAACCTCATCACATATGAGGGTGATGGTATCAGGCAACACTGATTTTGGAAGAGGTGCCCTTGTAATAATGTTGAAAATGTCCACCTTTTCCTGGTTAATGACATCCACATTTGAGAGCCATTCCAATGTTTGTGTGGCATCCCAAAGAGTTGACGATGTTGGACCCATTTCTCCATGGTGTTGTGAACTGCTGTACCAAGATTCAAATTTGCATGACCCATTGATGGTGAGATGAAGCAAAAGCTAATTTATTGGTCACCCTGTGCAAAACCTGCTACATTGATGAAGTTCAGTTACATTAGTGACTGAAATTTTTCGGTCGTATTTTAGTTATGCTGACCCAGTTGGCATTGCCTAGCACAGATAGTACAAAGCCACATGCAATTGAAGCTTACTGGAATGAGGCATGCATAAAGTTATATGGAGAATTATGGTAAATTTCTGCTCCTAGCATATTAGCACTTGAATGTGATACTTTCCATTTTCTGGGTTTTTTTTGTGAGCAGGCATTGACTTCCAAATTATTATGAGGAGTTTTAGGACTTTTATAATTGTTTCTGAAAAGGTTTGCTAATAATTTATATTTTAAAGATTAAAAGGAATTTTCTTATGAATGAGCAATATTAATAATGATTCTTATATTGTTCCAGTCTGTATTTTGGTAACTGTAATACCCTTGTAATCCATAAAGGCTTTGCCCCACCCCCATCTTTTTCTCAAGTTTTCATATTCTCATCTGAATGTTAGATGCATTCACTCACTAACTTCCCAAAAATGTATGATAAAATCCACATTTAAACATTAGTGTATGATATTATATTTCTGTTTTTGCTTTTCTGCTTTTTGGAAAACAAATCAAATTTTTGAGGAGACACTAATATCAATCGGATGTAACTCGGGCATTCCGAGTCTCACGAGATCTTAAAAAACCCTGCGAATAAAATTTGCGAAGCCGGCTCTTCCGGAATTCATACGGATCCGTCGGGGACGATACAGGATCGAGAAGCTGCTGGAGAAAGTGCAGGGGGGCCTGCCCCCCATGCTGAGCGAACCAGAGGAGGCTGCCCTGGAGGAGCTGAACCTGACTCACGATCAGGCAGAGCAGCTGGAGAAGCTCCTCCTGCATCTCAAGTCCCGTCTCGCGCTGACCCAACCCGTGAGAGCCCCTCTGTCGTGTCTTTGATCCATTTATTTTTTGTTATGGGGAAGAGAAAGATTGGAGCTCGAGCCTATTTTGTGATGACTGTGGACTACCAGAAATGTCTTTTTTTTGGAGTACTTTTCATTGGTCATTATGTTGAACATTGGAAGCATAACATATTTTAAGTTGTGAAAGAATTCCTCTCAACAGAAAATCAATGTAGTTCATGATGAAATTGGTGTGCTCTCTATCTATCAAATTGGGCCAGGAGGAAAAACATTAACCACATGAATAATTTCTTCTGAGTATGATATGTTTTAGCAATTGAGATGACCTTAGTCATCGAGTTGATTGCGTCTAACACATTGCTCGCGTGTTCCATAGATCTGTCAAGCTTTACCTTCTCCTCTTTGTTTTGTCACAAACTTCATGCAATTATCCTCGTATTCGAATGCCAAGGAGACGAGGAACCGTGGATCGCGCGTGTTGAAGTACGCAATCCAAATCCTAGCTGGATTGAAAATACTTGTAAAAATGTACATTTAATATCATAGAAAATGCTGCTTCATTGAAGTACCCCCTTCAAACTTTTTTTTGTCACATTCTTTTAAGCTTTTCCAATCTTGCCGTATGATCACTTTCTTTTCCTTGCACAGGGGAAGAAGAAGAAGATAATGTCACCGAGAGCGAAGAGGGAGGACGCAATCTCCGTCCGGCAGATGGACTCCATCCACTCGACCCTCCATCAGGAGTACGTCGCGATCGCGCCTCGTTGCATGCCAATGAATGAAAAACATTTTCCACACCCCCTTCATTGAAACCGTTGCTCGTTTCACAGGAGCGGCGAGATCGGGGAACTGATACGACAGGTGAACAATCTGAAGAACGATCTCGCCTCGGCCTGAAACGTTTCGTTTCCGATCGATTCTGCTCATTCCCCTCACCGCATTTTGTGACCAACAGGTTTTCGTAGCAATAAAATTCGTCTCTCGTCAATGAATGGAAACGGATTGGGTGACAAACTCTGACCTCAAATTGAGCCTAGAAAACTCATTAGAAGTTGTTTGATTTGGAAGTCAGAAGTATGTAATTGCAAGAAATGCCATGTGATGGGGAATATCACATAGAAAGATTGGCGAAATCTTGTGAGAAAAAAAGTTCCTTTTTTTTTATATGCCCCTCTAGGTTACACCATAGATGCCTCTACATGGCTTTTTTTTATCCAGTAAACCAGTGACGTGGCAGAGCAGACTGGTCCTTCCACGACAATATTGCCCATATGTACGAGGGTATGAAACTTCGTGAAGCATGTCAAATTAAATTTAAATTTGCACCATACTTTCCATGAAATTACAGAAATCGGCGTGCATGTGTTTCTATTGCCCATGACGATAGAGAACTGATGGAGAGATGGGGATTTGGGCGCACTGGTGACTATTAATGGTAGAAGCCCCATGAAAATATGTATTAATATAAACGCTAAAATTCCTTACGGGTCTACGTGGAATTATTGCGTTAAAACTCAGAAGTAATGGTCTTGCGTATCTGCTACTATGTCTTTTGAAATACATGCGCATAGAGGAGTGGGCGACCACAGGCAGGAATTTAATTCAGATGATGTCACTATGAACATTTTCTTAAACAAATGCATTTTTAAGATGTAATACGAAGGCGCGAGAAATGCCAAACCCATTAACCAAGGGGTTTGACGACATTATTAGGGGTGAGCTTCAAAAATGAATGCTCAGGGTGCATTATTATTAATAAATTTATTTGGAGCGCCAAACGTCCATAGTGCCATAGCCACCAAACTCGCAAGTATTTATGTAACTTTTATTTCGAAAGAAAACCAACATTTACCACGTGACCCAGTCAATAGGATGGTGTTACTTGTAAATGCCTTCATGCCTAGAAGGATTTTATTTTAATTTTCAGTACGTTTGGTCAGGTCTGGTACTGGATCTTTGCCATGCGCACTGTCATGAGAGGCCCCTACGGATGACCACGAATGCAGAGAAAAAATCTGAATGACCTGAATATGTAAAATCTAAATATTTATCAGTCATTCGATAAATGATTTGGAATTCCTGGACCGTCGAATGTACAATCCGGATCCGGCTCTGGCACGTTCCTCCAAGCCCGGACATCCGGACCTTGAGGCTCGTGTCCCGTGTGATTCTCCGTCGTACGACTCTGGCTCCACCGGGAAACGTTCCGGATCGTTCTCAGAGATCGGCTTTAAAAGAGACTTCCAGTGGCCGTAAGGACACTCGGGATTCCTCACGACTGCCTCCATTTTCGTTCCTCCAGGCAGCATGACATAAAACGGGCTATCTTTCGGCATCCACAGGTGATACATGTGATCGAGAGTGAAACAGAAACATCCATTTTCCGGTTCGTCTAGATATGCGCGAAGGACCTCCAATGAAGTGTCCGACCGAAGAAGAGATCCTCCGCCTCGTCGACGAAAGTACAGTGAAAACTCGTTAACTCGAATCCTGATAAGTCGAAATTCTGCTTATCTCGAAGTTCAAAGCTTGGTCCCGGCGGAACCCCGTTAACTCGAAACGATTTGCCCGGTCCCTAAAAGTTCGAGTTAACGAGTTTTCACTGTATGAAGAAAAGATGCTCCCAGCCTTTCCTCCGAGTCTCTCCACCTCCTCGGGTCGTCCCCGCACATTTCACTCAAGTCGCTCGGTGGGAGGAAATAACCAATGGATGCAACGCCCTTCGCCATGTCGAACCTTTTCTGAAATTCCGACACGCAAACCTTTTCCTCCTGATTTTTCTCTCCCATTTCCTCCGTTTCCCTTCCCCGTTTTTCCTCCCAAGAGCAAACTTTCGCCTCCCCCCTCACTTGTACCGGCCGGAGGACGAAGAACAAAACATTCACCGACTCGGCCATCGTGGCCGAGGGGAATCCCTCGATTGCGCAGCGGTGAATTGTCTGGACCGAGCGTGTCATGTTTCTCCGTCGTTAACCTTACCCTCATCTTCCTTTTTTCTTAAATCAGATTTCCAAATCCAACTTCAATACCTTAATGAGTTCCCGACACGACGTTTTCAATCCGCATACCCCGCACGCCTTCCATCGTTGATGGATGGCAAACAATTTTTTTCAACGGTTCATAACTTATTGACCAGAATGGAGTCGCATTATGAAGACCAGCAACAGTGAAATTATTACTTTTCAAACCCAGGGAGTAATAGAAATATTCTTGCAAGCATACCTGAAATGCCTTTCTTTTTTGGGGGGTGGGGGAATAATAATCACCACCTTTGCGTCATAGGACTATCCTCGATATATTCGATCGAAGCCGAAGAGACAGTAAGGCTACAATTTGATTCTTGTCACCGTATAATAGCACCCGAAGTATTTTCCCTCAGATGGAATAATAAGTGACGCATTAATTATCTAACGCGGCCAGCAAATGGAGGTATGTCTTCAGCGAGAGCCGAAACGACACGGAAACATTGGTCGCAGCCCCACGAGATATACAGGGACATGTTCACATGCCACCAACATCGAAACGAATTAGAAGTCCTCCAATCCTGTTGGAGGAGTACTTAAGCATGCGGGGATGCTCCCGAGGAGTTGGAGGCATCCCTGGCCACACCACACACAGTCTTGATTCGGTGGTGGACAGGGAAGGACATTAAGTGGAGCTCCTCCTCGTACAGACCGTCCTTCATCCATGACGGGCATATCAAACCCACCCTCACCGACCTTTTCTTAGGATGGGGTTACTTCACCTCCCCCCCCACCCCCCAAATTAAACAAAAACCCTGCTGGGAGAGCCCCCTTATCACCAGCCCCATCTCTCTGACCTGCTGTCGGGACAACGGCGTGTGTCCAGGGTTTCCTGCTTCACCTCGTTATACTGTATAGTCTGTATACTGAAATCTTGTGCAGCGGCATTGCCTGTTGCCCCGAAGGACTGCCATGAAAGAGATTAGCACTTGTCAACTGAGCTGATTGAAAGACTCCATACTTTATGGAGGGTGTGGGAAGGTCGCAAAACGGGAGGAAGTCGAGTTCAAAATAGTTTCTCTTTCCAAGTTTATTTCCACATCAATTCCCTTCTTCAGCATTATTGCTCTCAATTGTCATTTGACGGTTTGGTACGGGTGCTTTCTTTTCCTCGAAGTTTACCCAATTCAAGCCGGGAAACTGAAGTATATCACGTACCTTCATCGTCCTCAATTCATTCTTTTACCGCTATTTTTATTATCTTCAAATTCCCTGCTCCGGAATATTGTCCCCACGTCGTTATCATGCAAGGGAAGACGGAAAACTCCCTACAACCCCCCTCCCTCTTTGTCCAACCCCTTCTGCCGCCTCCTGGCCTCTTACAAAGGAGAGAGACACGGGGCGAGTATATCGCGCGAGAAGGGAGGGGGGGCATGCGAATGTGCGTGAGAGAGCGTGTGACGGAGTGTGTGAGCGCGGTCTTCTTTCATCTGTCTCCTCTCCCCTATTCACCAGTTTCCACTCGTAGCATGCCCCCATTGCACGTAGGAGGATTTTAACGCATGTAAAGCATGGGCCTTCCAACTCCAACCTCATCTGAGTTGTTCTGGCATCGTCCAACTCTGGATCCGTACAAAAAAAATGCATTTCCGTCTCAGAGATTGACGGATTAATAGGGGAGCGTATCTAAAAGCCAACCATCCATTAACTGTAAGCAGGATTACCGAAAACTTGGAATCCCCATTAATCGAATGGACGACGCTCAAAACATTGAATGAATTAGACGAACTCTTACATCGTCGAGGAAAGGTATTTTTCGGCGAAAGCTGCTTATCCTGGCAAGGTCGAAATAAAGAGGGGGAAATTCTGACTACGACGTGGTTTTTTCATTGCTTTTGTTAATTTAGAAAAATAGGTTCAAGAAAGGAAACGGTGTCCGACGAGAGCCAAAATGAACCTGGAACAGCAGCTGCAGCAGCCCCAAGAGGATGGGTTAAAGGGAAAATGTTCCCATGACGCCTGCATCGAAATGAGTTTGGAGTCCTTCAATCCTGTTATAAGAGGACTTTGGCATGCGGGGATGCTACCGAGGAGTTGGAGGCATCCCTGGCCACACCGCACGCAGTCTGTATTCGGTGGTGGACAGGGAAGGACATTAAGTGGAGTTCCTCCTCGTCCAGACCACTCTTCATCATACTGTCAAGGGTATCCAGCTATGTCTGGATTTCCTCCACGATCTCCTTCAGGCGCTCACTCTCCATATTCAGATACTGTCTGGCCTTTTCTTACATGTGGTTCTTCGGGTTCTCCTGCGGGAGATATCCTCCTGTTCGGGAGGATATTTCCAAGCATCCATCTCTCGACCCCGTGCATTCTTTCACAGATGCGGTTTTCGTTTCCCTGGTTGTCCACGTAAAGTCCATCCTCGGTGGACACCAGTAAACGTTATGTAAGAGCTCATCGCGTCGGAGAGCGCCTTAGCAACGAGGTGTCGGAATGTCTCGGCGCTTGTCACCTCGGTGCGTGTCACCTCAGCACTTGTCACCTCGGCGCGTGTCACCTTTGTGCTGAGCGCCTTCGCTGGTCTTGTCAATTTCCCCACTTGAGCGAGCCTGCTCAGGCAGGAAAAATGACATCCACTTTCCTCTCCCATTCCCGACGTGTCACATAGCAGGAAAAGGATATTTCGTTATTCCACAAAAGCTCTGAGGCCAGTAAGAGGGAAACCTTCGCCATGAACGGACGCCTCGCAGCCGCTGCGCTTCTCCTTGCTCTCCTTGCTCTACCCGAGGAGAGTCTCAGAAACCACCCGGTCCAGCATACCGCCACCGGCAGCAACTACTACGACGACTCTTCGTATCGTGAGAAGGTGCAATCGGACTGAAATGGCATCTTCCACACAATATATTTGAACCTTTGGAAAATACATACTAGAGACAGAAGTTTAATCAATTTCAGGGTAAAATTTCATGAAGATCAACACCATTTCCATGAAGGTATGGTGTTGATCTCTTCAGCTTTTACCATCGATTCGCAGCAGATGTTTGTTAACACATCGGAGTCCCCGGGCACGTGAAGCTAGACCACGTCGAAACGTAAAATGACGATTCCGGGGCTCAATGTGTTAACCATCGGCTTAATTCTGTCCTTGTGAGGTCGATCGATACAGGCAGTTACGATCGCTGTTGTCTGCTCGACCAGAGGCGGGCGCGTGTGGACGCTCGTATCTGCCCAGAGCGACCGCCTCGAGCAGTTGGTTCAGGTGGCTCCTGGATGTCTTCCTACTGCGGGGACGCGAAGCCGAACCAGAGGAGAGAGAGGAGGGATTGATCGACGGAGGGAGCCCGGTCACCATCGCGGAGGTGCCGTGGCTGGTCTACGTCACGTACATTTTGTCCGGATTATCGTATCTTTGCACGGGCTTCATCGTCGACGAGATGCACGTCTTGACTGCCGCTCACTGTGTCAAGGACGGGTCAGTTTCAAACCATTTAGAGATGTCCAAAGACTCGTTCGTTTCCTCGCGCAAGGCGCGTAGATGCCATGTAAATGAATGACACGGCAAGAAAGCACAGTATATTGGACCGAATTTCAGCATTGCATTGGTACTGTTCAAAAGGTGGGAGTACTGCCAGTGCAAAATAATTTGCTTCTAATTTTAGCCGTAGCAAAAATTATAAGCATTTGGAGCGAGAAAGAAACCATTCGATGGAACTCACCCGGTGAGTTACAGATTTCTCATTTCTCACAAGAGATGAGAATGTTTCTCTTCATCCGTACACTCTCTCGGATGAGGCGAAAACCTTATGCTTCCGAGATGCATCTCTCCTCAGTCACAAACATTTCTAGTCGTCCTGCTGTATTCTGATATAAGAGGCCATTTTCGTGTCTTTTTTTCATTATGAAACAAGGAACGTCTTGGCAAGCTCTATGAGTGTTACATTCGGGAGCGCGGACTACCGATATGGAACGACATACACCACTGTGTCCAGGGTCCCCCATCCCAAATACAGTGAGTGAAGCTGCACTTCTCTGTGGATACGCCCCCTCCAAAAAATGGCGACAGAAGACGTTCTTTAATGTCGTCCGGAGACCCATGTTTTTCTTTCTCGCTTGCCTTAAGCCGGTGGTTAAAGAATATTTTGGCCAAGTTTAAAAAAGCTATGCTATGACAGGTAAACCGAATGACTTCGAAGTTCCGCCTTTCCCCCCAAGATCTGGGGGAAGACTGACAAAAAAAGAAATAATGCAAATAAGCAGCAGCTTATCGATGCCCCCCCATTTCGGTCGTCTGCAGCGCACTACAGGCTCGGCTACGACATCGCGGCGTTGAAACGGAGCCAGGCCCTGACCTTCTCGCCCACCGTTCGGCCGATCTGCATCCCGAGTTCCGACAGCGTGTACGAATGCGGGAGCTTGCACCGGGAAGACGTTCGGATGGGGTCTGATCGCCCAGACCCCGTCGGTCCTGCCCAACGTCTTGCAGAAACTGGATGCGATCGTCCTTCCCAGGGAGGCTTCCCCGAGCGAGTACAACATCGGTGTCATCTGCGCGAAGGGTGTCTCGTCGGGAACTGGAGCCTGCCCCGTGAGTCGATTCGTGTCCATTTCATTTTTCATTACGATATTGCATAAAAGTTACGCTTAAATCGGTTGATATCATTCTAACGTTCGGACTCGGAATGAATTTGCGGAACATCGTCGCAGGGAGACAGTGGAGGGCCTCTCGTCGTGTATACGAACGGCATCGCCTACGCCATGGGCGTGGACTCCTATCGTGGCGCCACCCCTTGCACGGTCGGTCCCGATCGATACACTCGGGTCACCGCCCACGTGGACTTCATCACCAGCGCTGTCAACACCCCATGAAATGGATCGCCGTCGATGATCGCTCCCTGTGAATACGTCGGAAATAAAATTTTTTTCTTGGGAGTTTTGTTTGAAGCGATTGGAAGTTCACCGGCTTATTGGCCAGATGGAAGGAAACTTTCGAACGGACCTCGCGCTGCTGTCGTTCTTTACACTGGGACCACGTGTTCGTTCACGGAACAATTCTTCGCTGTACATCCTCGGGTTCCACGCCTGACGAGTTCGACTATTTCCTAGACTGCACAATCAAATGCATGAATCCCGAATCCTTCATTTTCTGATCGGCCTGAATAAAGCAGAGAACCGCGTCGTTGACAGAGAATGTTTCTCTTCATCCGTACACTCTCTCGGATGAGGCGAAAACCTTATGCTTCCGTGATGCATCTCTCCTCAGTCACAAACATTTCTAGTCGTCCTGCTGTATTCTGATATAAGAGGCCATTTTCGTGTTCTTTTTTTCATTATGAAACAAGGAACGTCTTGGCAAGCTCTACGAGTGTTACATTCGGGAGCGCGGACTACCGATATGGAACGACATACACCACTGTGTCCAGGGTCCCCCATCCCAAATACAGTGAGTGAAGCTGCACTTCTCCGTGGATACGCCCTCTCCAAAAAAGGCGAGAGTTGACGTTCTTTGATGTCTTCCGGAGCCCCACGTTTTTGTTTCTTGCTTGCCTTCATCTGGTGTTTAAAGGATATTTTGGCCGAGTTTAAAAAAGCGCCTGCTACGACAGGTAAACCAAGCGACTTCGAAGTATCGCTTTTCCCCCAAGATCTGGGGGAAGACTGACAAAAAGAGATAATACAAATAACTTGGGGTAACGAGAGCAAAGAAGCAAACTCAATCCACACGATGCAATCGCCCCGATTGCATCTGCATCCCACGCATGCAGCAGCTCATCGATGCCCCCCATTTCGGTCGTCTGCAGCGGACTACAGCCTCGGCTACGACAGTTGAAGCGGAGCCGGGCCCTGACCTTCTCGCCTACCGTCCAGCCGATCTGCATCCCTTCAAGGCTGTCGCACATGCTACGCCCTCGAACGTGGCGCTTCTACAAGCCTACCCCAGCCTAGCAGGTCTGGGGCAGCCAGGACGGGTTGCAGAACGTCTTTGACCTACGCTAGCAGGAAGGCTTTTATCGAAAAGTTACGCTTAAATCGGTCGATATCATTCTAACGCTCGGACTCGGAATGAATTTGCGGAACATCGTCGCAGGGAGACAGTGGAGGGCCTCTCGTAGTGTACATGTACGGCATCGCCTACGCCATTGGCGTGGACTCCTATCGTGGCGCCACCCCTTCCAAGGAAAGAGAGAAACTTAGATAATTAATACTTGCCCGAGAAGTACTCGTTCGATTGCTGAGTGCATAAAATGAATCGTACTTTTGTGACATTAGAGGAAATATTTAAAATGTACTATCACGGGAGGGAAGTATTTCAAAAATTATTTTCCGCTAGAAAGGGGTATTTAAAGAGATTCGATGTTACGGACTCAAGAAGTACTCCGAGTACTTATTTCAATCAAAATTTCGGTTACGTCCCCTCATGGCACATTTTTCGACAGGGACATACTTTAAATACATTTTTGCAGTTTCCAAAGTGAATTAATGAATTATTATTTGAACGCCGAAGGCGGGATCACATCGAGTTGACGAGGCTCCAAATTAGCACGTGCGATGCTTCTACGATGAGGATAGATTCCTCGGAAAAGGAATTCGTTCCCCTCGAGGAGGAAAAACCCGAATGTGCGATGTCTGCATCGAGGAGGATAGAGGAACGAGGAAAGGAAATCTGTTAATATTTTTTTTATTCCCATGAAGGAGGCTGAATAGAAAAAGAAAGAACCTCTGATCTGCAAAGTCCACGGAAGCACGACCCCCTCCAGGATTTCTGATCGACACACTTTTCAATTTCCTTTTAGCACCTTCTTCGATGAAAACCAATGCCGTTCTCCAGTTTGAGGCTATTCCTGACATTGCAGTGTTAAAGCTGAGCCGTGCGCCTCCTCGCGCTTCGTTCGGCCGATCTGCCTCCCGAGTTCCGACAGCGTGTACGAATGCTGGAGCTTGCACCGCGAGGATGTTCGGATGGGCTCGGATCGTCCAGACCCCGGCGGTCCGGCCCAACGTCTTGCAGAAACTCGATGCGATCGTCCTTCCCAGGGAGGCTTGCATCGCAACGTCGGTGTCAAATGCGCGAAGGGTGTCTCGTCGGGGACTGGAGCCTGGAGTCAATTCGTTTTCCTTTCATTTTTTTTATTATGAGACTGCAGGAAAGTTTCGTTTAAATCGGTTGATGTCATTCTAACGCTATCCATTCTTGAAGTCGGGAGATCGTCAAATCTTTTAACATTGAATCTCGATGAAGAACTCATGCGATATAGGAAATTGGGTCATTTTTCGAAGCAAAGTTTTTAAGGCTTCCAATATATAGATGTAATAGATTACCCGTTAGCCACAATCGATCCCATCATTCCACCTTGAATGTGAGATAATGAGATTGATGATGATTGCAGAAAGTTAATTAATGGACTTGGATATTTTATTCGGTCAACCACGAACAAAGTCAGAAGAACGGAGTGCGCCTGCTTTCTATATTATCTTCTGCTTCCTCGCGATGAATCCATCGTGACTAAGTGACTGACGGACGCTAATTCTAACCATGTTCTAGAACGGTTAGAAATTTGAAACTTGGTACACATGTACCCTTTGGGATGCAGAGTTCAGAAAAAATCCGACTCTGAAGGTGCATGGCCTGGGGGCACAAATTTTGGGGAAAACGTTTTTCTTTAAAAATTTTTCGTGACAGATGAGGAAGGCATTCAGAGTGCTAACCGGCTGTGCTGGGTTCTGTGGTGTAGTAGGAGTATATCTGTCTGGCAATTAAAAAGATCCGGGTTCAATTCCAGGCCAATCCATGGCTTTTTTGTGGGTTTTTTACCCTCCATGTCCCGTTACTCATTCCCCATCCAAAACATTATTTTTGCTTGAGTATAACAGAGAGACATGGAAAGCTGAAACTTGGCATGGATGTGCCTACCGAGACAATGAGTTCAGGAAAAATGGAAACTTTTAGATCCATGCCCTGAGGGCATATTTTGAGGAGCCGACTTTTTTTTGTCATGGCGTATTGAGCTAGAGTGGAAAGATGAAACTTGGTACATAACTACCTATTGGGACGCTGCAGAAAACTTCAGACTTTGGAAGTAATTGCCCGGGGGGCACAAATTTCAAAGGGTGTCTCAATGATTTCATCTCCTTCGTTAAGTTCTCCAGGAACACTTTCAGTGTTTTTTTTGGTCTCATATTTGAGGATAATACACAGCACCTTCAGACTTTATATAATCTTTCAAGAATTTACCCATTTATGCCGTTAGGGGGACAGTCTTAAGCCGACAGCAGTGCTTGTAAGGGGTACGATTGACGGGTTTTCTCCAATTCCCAGGTCAGGAGATCCAAAAGGCGGCACTCTTGATTCACTGTCGACGTGCAGAAGTATTCTTAGCAAAGTATAGATGTCGCCACCACGGCTCGTGATGATGTGCCCTCCCCTCCGGCTGCAACGTTTTCTTTCGTCTGAGGAGAATTGGTTTCACTCACTTCCAAGAGCGATTCCATGAAACACTGTACGAAGTAACCACCTGAAGTGGACCTATGCCATTGCGATACGGGATAACTTCTTCAAGGTACTAGTGGAACACTAAATCCCAGTGGGAGTTTCCGGTTTTCCATCTTTTTCCTGCTTGACTATGAATAAAGGAAGATGTTGACACTCCGGATTTCCTCGAGTCGTTGATGATTCCGTTTAGCTGAAAAAGTAGTCGACGATGAATACTGAAAGAGCACCTCCAGAGGCCCTGCACATCTTCATTTTCGTGAGATGGGGGACGACCTCACTCAATATCGACGTACTTGATGCAGAGCGGTCCTGAGCAAGCCAGGGTTAAAATAATGGATTTAAAAACGTGTAACACGTTTTCCTGAACCACACACTCACACGCGCATACACGTGTGTGACGCCTACTCAGCCAACCCATGTGGGTGGCCCATTCCAGGTGTCGTTGGAATCCCACTTGCACCGAGGACGTGGTTCAATAAAAGATGTGTCCTTCTCTAAGCTTGATCATATCTATTTAAAACTTTCAAAGGAACTTTTATAAAAGACAATATAGCTTAGGCCTATAAAAGATAAATATTAAAAGTGGCCACTCAAAGGGGGGGTAACAACACAATCCCACAGAAAGCAAGCCAACGCACTCAAGGCCAATAGGATATAAAATATAAAAGGAAATAAAATACAGATGAAGAAGCGGCAAGGCAGTGGCGTGCAGGTGGGGAGAACAAAGAGAAATCATTACTTCCGCCTCTTTCGAAACCAAATTGCACCCTTCTAAGCAAAATTAAGTTAAAACCCACTCTGCCGTTTCACACGTTTCTGCACGTTTGCAATTTCACGTCATCATTTTTTTTTACTGACGAGAAACTTCTTAGCAGGTTGCCAACGCAGGTGATTGTTACCAGGTGGACTCGCCCATTGCCGTTGAAAAATTAGGCAGGAACCATTCATCTGGAAGAGAAACGGTGCAATTACCCCCAAGCCAGAGTTAGTAAAGCGTGGCGCTCCGCAGCGGCTTCACTCTCTTCCGGGCGTCGTCGGCGAGACCCACTTGCTAGAGATCACCCATCGGTGGGACGACGTGCCAGGGAAATTCCTCCACTGGGGCCGATGAGGACCAAACCTTCTCAAGTGTGTTCCATAGCGCAAGCCATGGGTCGTCATGGGTCACCAACGATGACTGTGAGTGATATTGAGTCACGCCGTTTTGATTTTAGCATCCTTGTATCACCAGAGAATATTTATTCTCATTTTTGGTGGATCAGATGATTTGGGTCACCATGGGTCGCTGAGTATCACCCTGGGCCACTTGAACCTGACTTTGAGATTAAGGGAACTGAAGAGTTTCAGAATCAACTCAGATTAGCTCTTTTTTTTTCTAGACCATCTTGTCTGAAAAAAGGATCCCCATGATATTTCTCTATGATTCCTGACATTTGTCACACCCTTGGGTTGTTCTGAAAGTCTCGTGGAAGTTGTGTTTCTCGTGATGCCAGAAGCTGACTTGTTTTTCTAGTGGAAATTTGCATACGCTTTCGCCTAGCGTGAGTGACCGAAATTTGCAAAAGCGCGAAGGCCCCAATGCGAGGGGGGCAGAGGGGCTTGCGAAATTTTGTTCGAATGCCATGAAAGACTTTGATTCAACTAGACCTTTTAAGTGGCCTCGTCGTAGTGATTGAGCCCTGTTTCGTGATTTTTCGGCTACCGTGTTTCTACTTTCCGAGTGATTGTTTAGAATTATTTTTATAGGTGTTGGCTGCCACCAACAGTGTCTTCAAGCACAAGGTAGGTTATTTATGGGTCATTTGAAGCATACGATTGGGTTTATCCACATTTGCATCAAGGACAGTTGCTCTCTGACGCCCTTCTCGAGGGATATTTGAAAAAATTCAGACTGACCACACAGAAACCGCAAGAAGCAGTCATACACAAGCTTTTTAGATGTTCGTCCGGTGTGAAAGGCTTCAACAAGCCTTTCATGGCACTCTGAACAATTCTTGGAGATTGAAACTCCCGGATTGCATGAAAATCACAGTAACACACCCGAATCTCAAAAGGTGTGGGAGAGGGGCTCATGTTTTCGCAAAAATTGGGCACTCGTGCTACGCAAAAACGTATGGGAATTTTCACTGCAACTTCTAAAACCCTATAGTAAAAAATGGGAATAACAAGTCATCTTCTGGGAAGTCATCTTGATCTTTGCGAATCTACTTGGCAGGTGCAAGGGGGGATGGCCCCCGGGATTGGGGGCGGGGTAGGGGAACTGCCCTTGACGTCCAGGGAACGAGGGAAAGAAGGAAAAGGGATGAAATCGAGAACGATTGCGTTCTCCATTGGGCTTTGCCAGAAAGAGGAGAGGAGGTGAGCGGGTCGAATCTTCGCATTTCCGGCACCGCGTTTTTCGTCAGGGCTTTCCCCACTGAGAAAATGTGCATGTGAAATTTCCTTCTAACTGCATGTGTGGTTTCGGGGCTATTGCGAAGTTCATCAGTGATAAGAGGAACTCCTCTTTTATCCGGAAAAAAAAGAGGCACGGTCGAGTCATCGTTCCGGGAATTTTATGTATTCCACAGCACAAAGAAACCCTCCGTCGGTCGGTACCAGGATCCGTCTCTGTCCTACTAACGCAAGGGTGCGTACATATGCAACAGTCTAGAGGTCCGGATATTTTCGACTCCTTCCAGGCCTCTAGGAGTATCAGTTCGAAGTCGCTGTGTCTGTTTTATAGGGTAGCCTCAATCCCAAAGCCAGCAACATGAAGTTTCTCTTCGTCCTCCTCGCGCTCTGCGTTTTTGCTCGTGAGTGAAAGTCCATTTCTTGAACATTCAAAATCGACCATAGATAGAACTCTGCCGTGATTGGTGTTTTCCAGAAAGTTGCAGAAATTCATTTTTTATTGATAGGTGTTCATCGCCTTGAAGCCCGAGAAAACATTATTTCTCAATTCTTACTGCTAGTTTCTTTCCCAATTTGTGTTTTGCTACTCCACCGAACCCATTAAAAAAGAACAAGTCGTAATTGGTAAAAACAAAAACAAAAAAAAAAACAAAAACCATGAGAGTATCTATGAGAAAATAAAAGAGAGAGCATAGTTTAGATATCCATATGATATATACGCTCTAGTGGCCCAAATGGCTGTTAAGCCATGTTATCGCGCACATGACGCAGTAGAGAACTCCCTGGTCACGGTGTATTTTTCCTTTTTTATTTTCTTAGATGCAAATCCTATCAGCGAAAAGGGATGTTCGGGCTCGATGCCGTGCTGCTGCGGCTCAGGTGCGGACTGCAACTTCTGCCATACTCTCTGTTGTGCAATCGATCACAACGTCCAGAGTGTTTGCCCATTGGGAGGTGGTTCTTGCCAATGCAACTTCCACGGCTGCCTGAGTGAGTCTCGCCTCGTGTATGCGTACGCGTCTGATCATGTGCTTTCATATCGTGTTCTTAGGTGAAATTTTTGTCATGGATTTCACGTGTGCACGCTTTTCAATCGTTAGCGCATCGCTCGTATTCCTTCTTACAGATGCCATTGCAAGTCGGGATAACTTCTTCAAGGTACTCGTGGAACACTAAATCCCGGTGGGGGTTTCCAGCTTTCCATCTTCTTCCTGCTTGACAATGAATAAATGTGGACACTCCGGATTTCCTCGAGTCGTTGATGATTCCGTTTAGCTGAAAAAGTAGTCGACGATGAATACTGAAAGAGCACCTCCAGAGGCCCTGCACATCTTCATTTTCTTGAGATGGGGGACGACCTCAATATCGACTTACTTGATGCAGAGCGGTCCTGAGCAAGCCAGGGTAAAAATAATGGATTTAAAAACGTGTAACACATTTTCCTGAACCACACACTCACACGCGCATACACATATGTGACGCCTACCCAGCCAACCCATGCGGGTAGCCCATTCCAGGTGTCGTTGGAATCCCACTTGCACTGAGGACGTGGTTCAATAAAAGGTGAATCCTTCTCTAAGCCTGATCATATCTATTTAAAACTTTCAAAGGAACTTTTATAAAAGACAATAAAGCTTAGGCCTATGAAAGATATATATTAAAAGCGGCCACTCAAAGGGGGGGTAGCAACACAATCCCACAGAAAGCAAGCCAACGCACTCAAGGCCAATAGGATATAAAATATAAAAGGAAATAAAATACAGATGAAGAAGCCGCAAGGCAGCGGCGTGCAGGTGGGGAGAACAATCACAGTCCAATCAGTGAGACGCGTTGGAAGGGGCTCCAGCCTGATCCAGGTCAGGCGAAAACGCAATAACGGGGCTCCAAATCCGGTCCTGGCCCGATCATTGCAACGAGGCTGCACCACCACCCTCGCCGAGCCGACCCGCTCTCCGCAATGCGCAAGCAGCACGCCTTCCCCCATCCCTTTCCTCGCTTCCGGCCATGCCAACACTCCCCACAGTGTTGCCTCGCTCCCAGGGACCAAAAGCCACTCAAACATTACATATACACAACCTAACAGCTCGGTTCCAAAATATTCCCTGGAATACCCGAAACCACTCCAGAGACCTGGAAGTCTTCCTCTTCCCGACTCTTCAATGATCATAACGCATGAGACCTTATTGAACGCTTCTCCAAAACGCAAGTCAGTATACTGGGGGAAAATTCCCGAGGTCCCGTGGTCTCCATTCACATTGCCCGATGTGTTCATCAAATGCCCTTATTCAGCTTCAATGTACCACAAATGGGTCCAACTTCAATGGTCGTGATGATCAATGGTCTCCATTGAGATGGAACATCAACAAATTTTGGACATTCAATTCCAATGCCACCGAACGAGCTTTGGTTCGGAGTTGTCATCTCTGCAGTAGAAAATGGCAAATCGATTGCAGTCAGTACAGAACTCTGAGAAGGGATTGCCACCTTGAATGGAATGAAAGAAGGTCGGCGGAACGGTAGGCCTTGACCTTCATTTCATCACTGAACTTCTTGTTAAATGGCTCTTCCATTTTTTTTAATACTCCCTCTCAGAGGAATCATCCAGAGGCAATTTTCAAAAAGCATTAGTAATTCATTAGCGCCCGACGAGAGAAATCATTACTTCCGCCTCTTTCGAAACCAAATTGCACCCTTCTAAGCAAAATTAAGTTCAAACCCACTCTGCCGTTTCACACGTTTCTGCACGTTTGCAATTTCACGTCATCATTTTTTTTTACTGACGAGAAACTTCTTAGCAGGTTGCCAACGCAGGTGATTGTTACCAGGTGGACTCGCCCCTTGCCGTTGAAAAATTAGGCAGGAACCATTCATCTGGAAGAGAAACGGTGCAATTACCCCCAAGCCAGAGTCAAGCAGCGGACTACAGCCTCGGCTACGACATCGCTGTGTCGAAGCCGAGCCGGGCCCTGACCTTCTCGCCCACCGTCCAGCCGATCTGCATCCCGAGTTCCGACAGCGTGTACGATGCGGGAGCTTGCACCGCGAAGATGTTCGGATGGGGTCGGATCGTCCAGACCCCGTCGGTCCTGCCCAACGTCTTGCAGAAACTGGATGCGATCGTCCTTCCGAAAANCGAGAGACAGGATGATTGCGTTCCCACGCATGTATACGTTGTCAGATCTCCAGGCCTATAAAAGCTGAGGAAGGTCCGGAGATCCTCATAGTCAAGCTTCAGCGACACAGACAAAATATCCCATCGGAGCGACCACGACCCTCGCCGAGTCGACCCGCTCTCCGCAATGGCCAAGCAGCACGCCTTTCCCCATTCCTTTCCTCGCTTCCGGCCATGCCAGCACTCCCCACAGTGTTGCCCCGCTCCCAGGGACCAAAAGCCACTCAAACATTACATATACACAACCTAAGAGCTCGGTTCCAAAATATTCCCTGGAATATCCGAAGCCACTCTAGAGACCTGGAAGTCTTCCTCTTCCGGATTCTTTAATGATCATAACGCATGAGACCTTATTGGACGCTTCTCGAAAACGTAAGTCTATATATTGGGGGAAAATTCCCGAGGACCCCTGGTCATTTTCTTTTAAATTAATTTTATCCACTTTTTCTTCTTTTCTCTCTTGGCTTTCCCCTCTGAGAAAATGTGCATGTGAAATTTCCTTCTAACTGCATGTAAGGTTTCGGGGCTATTGCGAAGTTCATCAGTGATAGGAGGAAGTCCTCTTCTTGGTTTTTTTTTATTGTTTAACGTAGAAAAATATTAAATTTGAATCATGCTTTCGATAGTACAGTCCAAGAAAGGAAACGGATTCCGACGCGAGCTGAAATGAGCCTGGAACAGCAGCAGCAGTCCCACGATGATGACGACTTAAAGGGAAAATGTTCCCACGGCACCAGCGTCGAAATGACTTTAAACTCCCTTTTTTCCTGTTATAAGAGGTCTTTGACCTGCGGGGATGTTCCCGAGGAGTTGAAGGCATTTCTATTCACATCACACGCAGCCACGATTCGGTGGCGGACTGGGAAGGACACTAGCTGAAGCTCCTCCTCATCCAGGCCACTTTCAAGCGTACATTCCCCGAGTTTCCAGGTATACCCGGTTTTTCTCCACGATCTTCTTCAGGTGATCAGTCACTATATTCAGATCCCGTCTGGTCTTTTTTCATGCGGTTCTTGAAGTTCTCGTGCGCTGAATGGATCACATTATTTACAGCCAGTCGAAAAATAATCTGATCAATTTGAATTCACAACGACATCAACTTTGCAAGCAGTTCAAGTACAATTTATTTGAAACGTATACTTTCCCTTCAGCTGTAAATGACATCATTCAAAAAAAAAAATTATTCCCTATGATCGATCGCGTCTAATCGTCGATCTTCCAAAAGAATAAAGCATATATTTCTCAATAATTCAATGAAGGAGTTGGAAATCATGAACCATCCAAGCAGGATGTGAAACGTTCAATCCAGATCCGGCACTTGTACGTTCCTCCAGAAATCCTCGTCTCCGATGTTCTCGTCGATGAACTCCCTCGCGAACCGGTCCTCCTCCTCCTCCGAGAGTCCTTCCCGGAGCATGGACTGCACGGACGAGAGGGATTCTCCCAGAACCGACGGATCGGACGCGACGGGGAAGGCTCCTGCCACATTCTTCGAGAAGAGCTCGACGAGGAACAGATAGCACGTGCTCCTCGTCCTCCCGAGGTATATGGATGGTTCCATGTACCAGGAGCTCACGCCGCTGGACGCGATCAGGAAGACGACGTGCGCTTCCAGTCCCTTGAAAGCCGCGGCGGTGTCGACGATGACGTAATCGTCTCCCGTCTTCGAATCCGCTGCTCTTCGGCCGCCCAATTCGGTCAGAAGCTTCTCTCCGCCGTACTTGGAGAAGAGTTTCTCGTTCTGGTAGAGAACGGCGACGGTGACGCCTCTGTGGCCAGCGAAGACGTCGCGGAAAGTGTCGCGGATCTTCTTCGCGACGGAATCTCGATCGGGTTGATCGACGGAGAGCCATTGCACGTCGGGACCGAGGAACTCGTGTCCCACCTGAATTTCCATCGCATCGTACAACTCTGGGTCCACCGGGAAATGTCCTGGATCGTTCTCCCAGATCGATTTCAAAAGCGCCTTCCAGTGGCCGTAAATCGACTTGGGATTCCTCACGACCGCCTTCAGTTTCGTTCCTCCGCGTAGGATGGCGTAGAAGGGACTCTCCTTCGGTATCCGCAAGTCATGATACATGGGATCGAAGGTGAAACAGAAGCATCCATTTTCAGGTTCGTTGCGATACGCGCTTAGGACCTCCAACCAGGCGTCTCCGTATCGAAGGAAGAGATCCTCCGCCTCGTCGACGAAAACGTGACGAAAAGCCGGTGCGATGTTTCCGACCATTCCCATGAGTCTCTCCACATCCTCCTTCCGTGCCTCCCTCGGTCTGTGTTCTCGTTTCACGATCTCCTCCACGAAGTCGATTCCGGGTCCCCACGTTTGCTTCAACGGGTGGCTCTTCGGGATGGCGTTCATGATCGTCCCGGCACATTTCACCAGAGATCGAAATCGCTCGGGGGTGAAATAACCAGTGTCGACGGCACCCTTCGCCATGTCCACCAAATCCTTGAGTTCCGGATCGGCGAACTTCTCTGGATTTTTCTTTACCTGCCCCTCTCTGTTTCTGGACCCTGTTTTTCCTCCCAAGAGCAGGCCTTCGCCGTCTCCCCTCACTTGTATCGGCTCGAGGATGAAGGACAAAGCTTTGACGACGCTGGACGCAGAGACCGACTCGGTCGTTGGAGGTCGATTGGAATCCGACGAGTGCAAAGCAGAAATGTCGCGGGACGCAGCAGGTTCTGCTTCGTCTGTCACCTTTCTATCGTCTATTTTTTCTTTCTCGTTCATTGCATTTCCAAATCCTTCCAATATCTTAAGGAGTTCTCGATAAGCCCCGAAGAACTCACCCGGCGAGGGTCGGTCCTCGGCGGTCATCGACCGTTCATCCGCGACCGGAGAAGCCGCTTTTTCATGCTGTTCCTTGCTTTCCCCGCCGACCAGGCTGTCAAACGTGGAGATGACGACATTTTCCTCCAGCATCTTCCGCGCTTCTACCATCTGTGATAGATCCTTTCCACGTCGATGGAACACGTCCAGAATCGCCTGGTGCAACACGTCGGGGAGTGACCTTCGAAGATGCAGACAGAGGCCTCGACTGCAACAGACCAGAAGGATCTTTTCGTTCGTCGCGTCCATCGAGTCCCCGGACGCGAACCAGCCCTCCACGACGCTCCGGATTTTCTCTTGCAAGACGAGCGTCTTCCCCGTTCCGGCCGCGCCGACGATCGCTCTGACGCTTCCTGGGCAAATTCCATCGAGGGCTTTTTGCTGGTCTGGGGTGATCTTCACCCGGTTCATCCCTCTGGAATACTTCGGGTCGATGGGCAGTGTTTTCCGGACTGAACCCATAAATCTGTCAAAATGATCATTTTCATTTTCATGCATCTCATTCATCGGTATGGCACTTGTGATATTT